GGCTGCTCACATCTGCTCCTGTACACAAACCAAACACAGCTTAAAAAATTACAATTCATCTGATTAAAAACATGCAAATTGGATTCATTTTGTGCATTGTTGAGTTGCTGCTACTGTCCTCTTACCTCTTACTGTGTCTTTGTCTAGTCTCCTTTCCCTCGAGTCTTTGAACATAGTTATAAATATCCTCCACTCTCTCTCTCTCTCTCTCTCAGTCACTCACTCCACTTTCTTTCTCTCCCTTTTTTTACTGGTCTCCATGAGATTTAATAACACAGCTCCACCCAGTAACCCAGATCACAGTGGAGTCCGACGATTTGTTTATTCTTCGGTTACAGACCAAAACGAAAGGGAATCGTTGGAATATGGTGTATATGTTTATTTCCAGTACAGAAAAATGACCCAAGAGGAGGTTTTCTGCGAGCTTCGAGGCTTTGTATTATACTAAACAGATTTTTGAATGTGTTTCTTTCCTGGCATCTACATCAATGTTTACAGCTTTAATTGTAGTTGGCCTCATCTAATTCTGTCCCCCTCCCCCCTTGGGTACCTTTTTCACACCCAATTACAGAGAGAAAAATGACCCAAAAAGTATTATTTGCTAGCCAGTGCTTTAGCATTAGCACCAATAAAGAGCAATTTATTATAATGAATAAATCAATACATAAAAAAACAATAATAATGATTTAAAAATTTATTTGAGAGAAATGCAGCTGCAAAAGGTTGAGAACTATTGATTTTTAATAGGCATGATTGTATTTTGAAAGTGAAATAATGCTAAGGAGAACATATTTACACCACATATGATTTTATATTGTATTTTATGGTTTTATGTGTATTTTATGGTATGTGCTTGTGTTATTTTATACCCACCTGTATGTGGAGTGTTCTTCCCTGCCGGGGGACTACGGATGCAAATTAGCCTAAGGCTAACTCCGGTACAATGCATCAAATGGAGGCATTTATGTTCTAATTGTACACTGTCCCTTTTTAAATAAATAGATACATACATTCTAAAATTAGTCCAGTTCTCAGGTCTCTACACTGGCTTCCTGTGGCTCAGAGAACAGACTTTAAAGCAGCTCTGCTTGTGTACAAGTCTCTCCATGGCCTCGCATCAAAGTACATCCATGACATACCAGTCCCATATGAACCAGCCCGGACTCTGAGGAGCACAGGGACTGGACTCCTGTTAGTGCCCAGAGTCAGAACTAAACATGGGGAGGCTGCTTTTCAGATTCATGCAGCTATGGTCTGGAACAGTCTTCCTGAGGACGTGAGACTGGCTGCCTCTCTGTCAATTTTCAAATCCAGGACTTTTCTTTTTGCCTGTGCATACAACTGTAGAATTTTATCTTTTTAACGCACCCTGTTATTTATTATTGTAAATCTTTGTGTGTTTTTAATGGTTTCAATTACTTGTGTGATTTTAATGTTTTAATGTTTTTAATTACCTGTGTGTTTTTAATTGTATTTTTAATGGTGATGATTTGTGCCTTGTGTGGTGTGGACTGTGAGGCGCTTTGTGTTGCCCTGAGTGGGAAAAGCGCCCTATAAATAAAGATTAATTGATTGATTGATTGATATTAAAGCTTGGGTACCAAACTTTCAAACCACAAAAGATGGGGCAACAGTATACTGTATAATAAAATCCATCTGTTCCTCGGCCTCAAAACAATGTTGTTCTATCTCCAGTTCAGTTTGTCTCATATTTAAATTCACTGGTCACACTTTAGTTCAGCCCTTACTACTTAATTTAGTGCTAATTAGTGTATAATCTAATGTATTTAGTATTTAATTGGTATTGAATAAGCACTGATTAGTCATTATATTCTGCATGGCCTTATTCAACATCTAACTAACCATACTTTCCCATGTGGTTAGGTTTAGTGCTAGCAGTTAATTAGCTGTTATTAGTGAGAGCTAATCTAAAGTGTTACCAAGTTAGATACCGCAGCTTTAATGCTTGTTTTGTACATTTCCAGAGAGCAGTATAAAGTGTAAAAACTTAGAGATACTTGGATAGCCTGGGGATGCCAATGCTGCTGTGCGCACTCATAATAGTACTGATAATTTAAATTTCACATGGATTTGAGAACCAATCACAGAACTGGGAAGGTCGACAGGACGGTGATGACGCAGTATTGGACAGACGGAAGATTGTTTTTTTTATAGATTGCAGCAGGTGCAAAGCTTTCTTCTTTCATGTTTAACTTTCACAAATGGCAGCAATCGATCAGCACCATTTTGTAAACATAATTTGTATTTTTCATTCCTTCTCTTTGCGTCAGAATTCTCTCACTCGAAATTTGTTATTGGCTGAAATTGATATGAGTGGCACCTCTCCAACGAGAAAATGAATTGATGGCACCCGGTTATTTACTCAATGAAGTATACAATGATTTAATACTAAAACAGTAGTATGGAAGTATGGGGTTTAATGTGAGTTTAAAAAGGGAGATTAAAGCAATAAATAGTACAAAATACAATAGTTCCAAGCGCAGCTAAACTGATTTGTTTTCAACCTAGTTTTGAACATAGTCAGGGTAGAGGCTTGTCTCACAGCCTCAGGAAGACTGTTCCATATCCTGGCTGCATAGATCTGAAACGCTGCCTCTCCATGTTTGACTATTTAGTTTGGTGTTTGCCAGGCTTGGCGACAGAAAACATGATTTGATCTTTATTTCAGATTAAAATTGAATTGTTCCATATTTAAAAAAGAGTAGGAATATAAAAAGAGGAATTACAATACAATACGTACAGTCAGTCCAAGCGTTTCTGCCCAGTGCTTTCTCAGAGCAGAGGTGTGGAGACATGAGTTTTTTTACAGTTAGTTTGAGTCTGAATTGCATTTTCAGATACCTCCTTAATTGAACCACTTCAGAGGATTTTCCAATTAATACAGAAAAAAATATTCACTTAAAATGTATTTCAGATTTCTATTTTTATGCAACATTTGAAGACTCACTGTAACTACACTATTTACTTGCGCAACACATTTTTTCATATTCAGTTTACTTTCAAGATCCCCCCCCCCACTTTTCCCTCTAAAAAATATACTTTCATTGATGTTAAAATTGACAAAACTTTCAATAATTAAAAAAAAAACCCTGTCTCTGTACCTGGCTATGTCTCGGCAGGTTTGTAGCCAGCAGCTATCTCAGGTATTCAGCTCTCTGTCAAAGCCACGCCTTAAACTGTGCACATGCAAGGAACAAAAGAGAGAGAAGCCTATGCCTCTGAGTGCCCATAATAACATGTTAGCAACATAAGGATAATGTCATGGTACGGTCACCAAGGCATTCATTACAGGAGCCGTTTATAATTGGTAAAAACGTGCCGTTGTCCTGGTGCATCATGAGCTCGTTCAGAAAACACCAGATTTAAAGATGCAATGTTATGCATTAGTTTTGGTCTTAAAAAATGAAAATGAGACTATCTACTTTGTCAGATAATGTTTAAGAATGTGAAATAATGTCTCAAGTTGAAAATATATGGTGAAACAATTAGTAAGTTTAAAAAAAAAAAAAGCCCGCCTGTAATTCCATATCCTGCCACCAGAGGGATGGATTCAATTTGTTTTGTTATTTTTTACCAATTTGATAATGGCCAGCTGAATGTAAATGTTCCTCCCAGTTCTGTGATTGGTACGCAAATCAGTATTTAAACTCTCCAGAAACGTACGTGCTGTTGCTTTAATGAACAAGCATTAAAGCTGGGGTACCAAACTTGAAAATTGTGGAATTGACAAAACTACTTAATGGGCCGTACTTTTGTTTTAAAAGGCTCTAAGTGTGATGTCATAGAGGTACAATGACATCATAGTGTTACAGGATTGACACAGGAGCTTTTGAACAGAAGGGGCGGAGCTACATGCTTGTGCCAGACGTTTCTGACAAATAGGGTTGATTGATCTAAAAACAACTCTACTGTAGGTCTGTTTTTGACGAGGGAACAATGTTGAAACAAAAAATGAAATTTTGCGATGACTAAAATGTTTCCCCCGGGATAATTCTTGCAGCTCTATCGTTCAGCGTTGTGGGGTAATTGTTAATAATGACAATGTTCCACAGTATGCACACACTCGTCCAACTTTCATTTATTGACATTTTAGAATTGATTATTTGACATGAATAATACGAATAAAAGCATCACACCCAACACTGTCCTTTTTTAACGTACCTCAGACATATTAGCAAACAAAAGTGGGGAAATAGTGGGGGAAAAAATGGATAATACATTTTAATATAAAAATAATTGATTAAATAATAAAATTAAAAGGGCTGCCATCTTTGACCTTGATATGAAAACGGATCCTCTGAGCAAACACAACCATCCCTGCTTCCTGGTGCATGTCTATAATTCTGTATATTTGCACTTGTATCTAATTTTCAGACACAAATTTCTTATATATATATCAAACTATTTTCAACATTTTATTCCAGACTTGACATTTGTGCTTTTCGTGTCTTGTCTCTCTTACAAGATACAAGTCACAAGAATTTATTTGCCATTTGCAGTAAAACCACACTGGAAAAACTGTGCAAGACTACCCCAGTGTGTCGCTGTGGGACAAATCTGCAGCGTGTGAGAAGCTCCTAGAACCTGTACTGACTAAGTTCTTACATGCTCACAGCAAAAACAGATTTATAACATCATTTATTTTATTATTATTGGACGATTATTGCAAAACAGTTGTAGCCATCATTGTTTGTATTAGTCTAGAATCTGAAAACTGTTAATGGCATACACTAACTTTTAAAGGTACTACTACAGTATTACTACTTCCGAAGCGCAACTATGGTTTCATGATTTCATTCTTACGTTAATATTATGTTTAAGCTTATTTAACAAATATTTATGTTTATTCTTCTAATTTCCACATCTGTGTATTGTGTGTATCGCTTTGTTAGTGCATCTATTGTTCAGATTGTTCTATAATGAACCTGTATTTGTCCCGCCGTGGGGACAAATACAGGTTCTCTTCTCTCATCTCTATC